GGTATGACATTATTATGGTATACCTCGTACTGAAATATTTTGATTTTGATTTGATGATGCCTTTGAAGGAAATTTTGTAACTGATTAATTGAATATTAAATGTAGTATTGTATTTTATACTTTCTGATCATTTCAGCCTGTAAGGTTAAAGCACACAAAGAGTTGGTGTGTGTGTTATCATGTGTTCTTTCTTTAGTCTAAACAAGAATGAGTTACGTTCTGACGTCTGACGTAAAAGGTAACACCTCCGGGGTGTAAMCAGGAAGAGATGTACATTATAAGGTCAATTCATTATTATAGTAGGAAGAGGTTGTCAGAGTGTTGTGGAGAGTCCCAGCTACAGAGCAGGGCAGCTGTGTTTTGGTTCAGCCCATGGTCTTACTGAGGCCTGCGTGCTGAGTGCTGTACTGTGAACCTGATTGGAGTAAGAAGATTGAGAATAAAGTTTTGACAAGAAATCCAGTTGGATTCCTGTTTATTCGGACATACCATTTTGAACAACGCATACTTTTCCTACACCTTTACTTGTCATTGTACAGAGCACATTGAAATTACATTTAAGAACACCCATTCAAGAGACACACATGACAAACATGGGGGAACAGGTGATCAGGTCATGCGGCAACCAGCAGGGGTCATGCAACCTTTAAAAAGAAAAACAAAAATACCACACAAGGGTAGATGAGGAAAAAAAAACATCATATTATATCAATGAAATATGATACACTATAATATTTATAGAAAAAACCTCTGCATAGCAAGAATTTATTAGCCACAGGAGTAGTGAGTTTAGAGGGTGTGTATTTGAAGCCATGAATGTTGTATGCACTTGTGTGAATATCTGAAGAATGAGACTAAAGAATCCAGGCCCCCCAAAAGAAAAACCCATAGTTCAGCCCAAGTTCAGAATACTGGTGTTGAATTGCTCATTCTGTGCAGTTCCAGATTGACCTTCAGGGGATCAGATTACAGACGGAAGTGAGAGGGGGGAGGGTGGGGGACCAAGCCAAGTCGACGTAAACACCAGGAGAAATTAGATCCATAGCCCTTTCAAGGCCATGAATGGAAGAGCCAAATTCATAATCAGTTGTTTGGGAACAGAAGAAATGTTTTSGGTTAGGCAGACAATAATAATTTTCCAACTGCCTTAATGTCCGCTGTGAATCCAATCAGATAAACAGTGTGGACAATACTGCCAAGCCGAGCTATCAGCTTCCTCCAAGATCAATTCCATCTCACCAGCAAAGTCCAGGAACCACAGCCGGCCCGCAACCCTCAGCAGAACCGCTTGCAGACCGAGTCCCAGCTCGCACAAGGGCTGAATAGGGCTGGGTATCATGGCCAATTCTCTAAATTGATTCGATTTCAATTCATTAAGTTCAGAATCGATTAATCACAATTCGATTCTATTCAATTCAATGAAAATGTTTATTGATATTGATATTGTATTTTGCAACTGTGTTGCAAAATACAATATCACCCTTTTTTTCTCTTCAACATAAACAGCAGGTTTTAAGGACAAACTTTTAAATTAAACTGTTTAATATTGAAAGAAAACTGTCAGAAGTATAAAAAGTTTTAAAGTACAAAGGAATTGCAGGTGACAGTGTTGTTGGACACATTCACTTTTAAGTAATAATAATTATTTTGATAAATAAGAAGTGATGAGAATAAGGCTGCAGGAGAAGAGGTGGGCTAATATAAATATACTTCGGCCCACTCCTTTTGAGCGTATGAAAAATTGTGAATGGGTGTTCTGAACTGTAATTTCATCATTGGGGGGCCGTGCATTTTGCACCTAGGCCTTCAATTGGGAGAGAAGGGACCTGCCAGATGCGGAGAAGCCAGGGGGGACGCTGCTGACGGCGGAGTCCAGAGCGGCAGAAAGAGCAGGGAGGGAGAGGCTGCCAGCTCTGAACTTAATAAGTTTATAATTAAAAAGAATCTATAAGACAGTCCTATAGGTCTGTATGAAAAACGGAGGAAACCTGTCTAAAGGCTGAGTCACACTACAAGATTTTAAACCAGTCGGTCGATTTTCAAAGACTGATCGAGCCCACACATGAGGATAAAAAATCATTGATATACCAGGTTTGGTCCTACAGTGTGTGTTGTACAGCCACACGGCAAGAGACAACACACCACACACGAACCGGAAGGTCGCCTGTTCGATCCTCATCGACTCAGTCGTTGTGTCCTTGGGCAAGACACCTTACCCGCCTTGCCTACTGATGGTGGTCAGAGGGTCCGGTGGCACCTGTGTACAGCAGCCTTGCCTCTGTCAGTGTGCCCCAGGGCAGCTGTGGCTACAATTGTAGTTTGCCATCATCAGTGTATGAATGTGTGTGTGCATGGGTAAATGTCTTAAGTGTGAAGCGCTTTGAGTGTCCTGGATGGATAGAAAGGTGCTATATAAGTACAGTCCATTTACCATTTACACGTCTCATTCATCAGGCTGAGAGCTCGGGGTGAACACTACACACACTGTGATATCGAGCCAACAAATCTAACATGTTGAATATCCCCGATTTGAGGTCAGAGCGGTCCCGACGTCCTTCTGAGCCAACTAGGTCACTCTTAACTCACCACCCACGACAGGAATATCTGCTATGATTATCTTTAGAGCCATCACGATGATCTGGACTTCCTTAAGATGGTCAGGAGGGCAAAAATCGGCCTGATTTTCTTGTAGTGTGATGCCAGCCTAATTTACAGACAATCTGTACAACTTGACACGAAGCCACGGCTACAAAAACCACCAATAATACACAGAAACGCAGAACAATATGCTGCTACACCACAGACAGGTACCTCTGCACCACAGACAACTGTCTCTGCACCACAGACAGGTGCCTCTGCACCACAGAAGTCTCTACACCACAGACAGGTGTCTCTGCACCACAGACAGGTGTCTCTGCACCACAGACAGGTGTCTCTACACCACAGACAGGTGTCTCTGCACCACAGACAGGTATCTCTGCACCACAGACAGGTGTCTAAGCACCACAGACAGGTGTCTCTACACCACAGACAGGTATCTCTGCACCACAGACAGGTATCTCTGCACCACAGACAGGTGTCTCTACACCACAGACAGGTATCTCTGCACCACAGACAGGTGCCTCTGCACCACAGACAGGTGTCTAAGCACCACAGACAGGTGTCTCTACACCACAGACAGGTGTCTCTACACCACAGACAGGTGTCTCTGCACCACAGACAGGTGTCTCTACACCACAGACAGGTGTCTCTACACCACAGACAGGTGTCTAAGCACCACAGACA